TTACTTATTTTTATTTATTTATTTTTGAGACAGAGTTTCACTCCTCTTGCCCAGGCTGGAGCGCAATGGTGCCATCTCGGCTCACCGCAACCTCTACCTCCTGGTTTCAAGTGATTCTCCTGCTTCAGCCTCCTGAGTATCTGGGACTACAGGCACCTGCCCCCACGCCTGACTAATTTTTCGTATTTTTAGTAGAGACGGGGCTTCCCTGTGTTAGACAGGATGGTCTCAATCTCCTGACCTCGTGATCCGCCCTCCTTGGTCTCCCAAAGTGCTGGGATTACAGGCATGAACCATCGCACCCAGACCACTTATTTACTTATTCAGGTTTAACATAAAGAGTAAAAAGGGTGAAACTTCCAGAAGTGGTTCCACTGGTGTATGGGAGGAAACATGATCCAAGCTGCAGTGCATTATCCTCATCCCATCCTGTCCAGGCAGGACCCTGGCCCCATGACGTAGCACAGGCCAAGCTCCCCTCCGCTCTCTTATGTCTTCTCCTTCATTCCTTTGTACCTTGCTGCTTTCCTTCCCCATACAAGCAGATTCTGAACAAGCCATTTGGCGAACCCCTCAGAGTACTACTTTTCCTAGTCAGGAGGTGAAACTTCCCCAGGTCCCAGACAGAGGAGGTGGCAGAAGTGCTAGTGTCTGAGGGGCATCGGTGCAGGAGACAGAATGGAACTGTGTCAGGAAAAGTGACAGAGTCCCCAGCCTCAGCTGGGCCCTTGAGATTCCCCTGGATGTGGCTCTTGTGGCAATCCTAGGTACGGTCTTTGGTAGGACTTGGAAGAAGCACACAAACCCTCACGATGCCACGCACTAAGGCCCCCAGCCTCACTCCAGGCAAACATATCTGCTCAATGGCATCTAGCTCTGAACCAAAGAGGGCCTGAGTCTCTCTGCACCAAGAGGAAGCAAGTGTAGAACTCACCCCCAGCATCTGGCAGCAAACAGCAGCTACACTTCCCCTCCCTAAGTCTCTAGAGCCTCAGACTTGCATCCTGTCAGCCCCCAAAGCAGCTCAGGGCCCTGGCACACTTGCCAACATGGCTTAAAACTCAACCAACCTGCAGGCAGTCACTCAGCAGGCCCAAGGAGCAACGTCAGTGTGCGTGTACGGGTTCCATCTTCACTGTGTCTCGGGGGAAGCCAAGATGGACCTCACGTGCACCTCAGCTTTACTACTGAAAACTGGTTCTTACTGCCTCTAGCCCCTTGGATTTCCTTTTCCTAGAGCATTTACTTAATTTTAAAAACTTTTTATTTTATTTTAAATTGAGATGAGATCTTACTATGTTGCTCAAGCTGGTCTTGAACTTCTGGGCTCAAGGGGTCCTTCTGCCTGAACATCCTGAGTAACTGAGGTTACAGACCACAGCCACCACGGCTGCCCGCAGAGCATTCACTTTAGAAAACCTGGCATTTTAAATTCTTTCTCTGCCTTTTTTTTTTCTTTTAATTCATCTGTATTCGTTTCAACTTTAAGCAGCATGTGACTTGGCACTACATTTCCATCCACAAGCCTGGCTTGGAGTTTTTGTTTTTATTTTGTTTTACTTTTTTGAAACAGAGTCTTGCTCTGTCTCCCAGGCTGGAGTGCAGTGGCACAATCTTGGCTCACTGCAACCTCTGCCTCCCGAGTTCAAGTGATTCTCCTGCCTCAGCCTCCTGGGTAGCTGGGACTACAGGTATGCGCCATCATGCCCAACTAATTTTTATATTTTTAGTGGAAACAGCGTTTCACCATGTTGGCCAGGCTAGTCTCAAACTCCTGACCTCAGGTGATCCACCCGCTTTGGACTCCCAGAGTGATGGGATTACCGTTGTGAGCTACCGCACCTGGCCAAGTTTTTGAACAGCTTTACGATATGCTTAGATAGGCTTATAATTTTGCTCCTCCAAGCAATACTTTTCTTTGGAAAACAAGCCCTGTGGAAAGTCCCTTCCATCAAATTGCTTTAGTTTAACCTATTTCTGGAGGACTAGTACATGCAGAATTGGCAATTACAAAGAATGAAAAGTAGATCCTAGAAGATGTAACAAATACTTTTCTCCTAAACATCAAGGTACAGCTCAGAACACTTCGATAATAAGATTTGGTCTAATAATGAATCTGGCTTGATAGCTAAACACTTTAGACCACAAAGTTAACATCAGGTTACATACATCTTACAGCACACATTACCTTGTTCTGTTAAAATAAGCCAATGTGCAACTAAAAGAGCGTTACTAGCTCTGCCTTAGTGCCTAAGGTATCACAGTATCATTTAGAAGTAGAAAGAAATCTTATCTTCCCCTTAAAGTAGTTATTGTCATGCCATATAGCCTTTTTGTTTTGTTTTGTTTTTGAGACAGAGTTTTGCTCTTGTTGCCCGGCTGGAGTGCAATGGTGCCATCCCGGCTCTGCCTCCCAGGTTCAAGCAATTCTCCTGCCTCAGCCTCCCAAGTAGGTGGGATTACAGGTATGCACTACCACACCTGACTAATTTTGTATTTTTAGTAGAGATGGGGTTTCACCATGTTGGCCAGGCTGGTCTCGAACTCCTTACCTCAGGTGATCCACCCGCCTCGGCCTCTCAAAGTGATGGGATTACAGGTGTGCGCCACCATGGCCAGCCACCATACAGACTTTTTTAGGTGTTAACAAAAATTTAAAAATCCTTGAAAATATACTATCAGAGGAATTGTAGAGTATTGAACACGTGTATAAGTCATTCCTCAGCCAGAGCTTAGTCTTCTTCTTTCATACAGAGTGTGTCATCATCTCCTTTGAGGGGTGGCATTTCTTTCTCAGCTGGATTGGTCTTTCTCTACCTCTTTGAGATGTATGTAAACATATATAAATATTTGTTTTTGAGATGGAGTCTCACCCTGTCGCCGTCCAGGCTGGAGTGCAATAGCACGACCTTGGCTCATTGCAACCTCTGCCTCCGGGTTCAAACGATTCTCCTGCTTCTGCCTCCCAAGTAGCTGGGATTATAGGCACCCATCACCATGCCTGGTTAAGTTTTGTATTTTTTTAGTAAAGATGGGATTTCACCACGTTGGCCAGGCTGGTCCCAAACTCCTGACCTCATGATCCGCCTGCCTTGGCCTCCCAAAGTGCTGTGATTACAGGCAAGAGCTACCACACCTGGCGGCTTTATATATATTTTAAAGCCTCTTGCCAGCTTTACCACCCAGGAATGTCTTTCTCAGGACCCAGAAGCCACCACTTTGAAAAGTAATCATCAAAGCAGACAGCTTTGTGTGGGAGGGCGGGAGCCTAAGTCAGTGGGTGGTGTTCTCCCACCTGCAAAACTACCTCCTATCACGACGCTATGAGGAGTTTACATTCCAGTTCTTTTCTTTATGTTTTTTTTTTGAGAAAGGCCTCACTTAGTGGACAGGCTGGAGAACAGTGGTGCCATTATAGCTCACTACAGCCTCAATATCCCAGGCTCAAACGATCCTCGCACTTCAGCCTCCTGAGTAACTGGGACTACAGGTGTGCACCACCACATCTGGCTAAAGTTTTAATTGTTGTTGTTGTTGTTGTTGTTTGAGCTAAAGTCTTACTCTTGTTGCCCATGCTGGAATGCAATGGTGCAGCCTTGGCTCACAGCAACCTCCGCCTCCCGGGTTCAAGCAATTCTCCTGCTTCAGCCTCCTGAGTAGCTAGGATTACAGGTATGTAGCACCTTGTCCAGCTAATTTTGTATTTTTAGTAGATACGGGGTTTCTCCATGTTGGTAAGCCTGGTCTCGATCTCCCGACCTCAGATGACCCGCCCACCTCGGCCTCCCAAAGGGCTGGGATTACAGGCATAAATCACTGCACCCAGCCAAGTTTTAATGTTTTTAAAAAACTGTTTGTGTATGTAGAGATAGGATCTCTCCATGTTGCCCAGGCTGGTCTCAACCTCCTGAGCTCAAGTGATCCTCTTGCCTCAGCCTCCCAAAATTCTGGAATTCCAGGTGTGAGCCACTGCAGTCAGCCCAGTACTCCTCCACTTGCTCACCCCAATTCTTAAAAACCCTACTGCCCCCTACTTTGGTGGAGTTGAGTTTAGACTTAGCTCTGGTCTCTCTCCTCTATTTCAATAGCCTTCAATAAAGCCTTCCTTCCCATTTAACTTTGTCTAGTGCAATTTTTGCTTTGCTAGGAAACATCTAGTTTCTGATTTTTGCCCAATTTTTTTTTTTTTTTTTTTTTTTTTTTTTTTTTTTTTTTTTTTTTTTTTTTTTTTTTTTTTTTTNTTTTTTGAGACGGAGTCTTGCTCTGTTGCCCAGGCTGGAGGGCAATGGTGCAATCTTGGCTCATTTCAACCTCAGCCTCCCAGGGTCAAGCAATTATCCTGCCTCAGCCTCCCAAGTTGCTGGGATTACAGGCACGTGCTACCACACCTGGCTAATTTTTGTATTTTTAGTAGAGACGAGATTTCACCATTTTGGCCAGGCTGGTCTCAAACTCCTGACCTCAGGTGATCCACCCATGTCAGCCTCCCAAAGTGCTGGGATTACAGGCGTGAGTGACCACGCCCAGACTAGGTGTGAGCCACTGCACCCAGCCTTTTGCCCAACTTTTAAACAAATGATAATATTTGCACATTAGCAACATGCTTGTAAATTGGAATTACCCTAGAAAAGAATTGGGGATAGAGTCAAAGCTGCAAAAGCAGACACTTAAGAAATGTGACTTGATAAGAAGGCTTTCATTTCCCCAAAACATCTCCACAGCTTCTCCACTCGCCTAGCTTGACTTAAAATGCCACATTTTGATAAAGAGATAGGACCAAGAATTTCAAGGGTGAGAGAGAGAGAGAGCTCATCACTCTTAGGTGACAGTTGAAATGCCATGGGACACCATACCAAAAAATTAATTTGAGATGGATCTTAGATGTAAGTGTGAAAGATAAAATAACAAAACTCCTGAAAGTGATCTTGGGGTAGGCAAAGGTCTTAGGACAAGAAAGCTCTTAACGAAAAAAGGTAAATTAGACTTTTTTTTCCATTAAGAACATCTTTTCATCAAAAGACATCACCAAGAGAGTGAAAATGCAAGCCCCAGACCACTGGGAGACAACACTTTCTATTCAGGATATGTGAAGAACTCCTACAAATCACTAAGAAAGAAGCAGTCCCTTCAATTAACAGGTAAAACAAACACTTAAACATACACTCCACAAAAGAAGATATCCGAAAGCCAACCAGTATGTGAAATGGTGCTCAACATCATTACTTATGAGGAAAATATACATTAAAACATCCTAAGATAAGCTTACACATCTTTAAAAGACTAAAATTAATAGAATGACAATCCCAAATGATGGTAAGATTCTACAGCATCTAGAACGCTCATGTTTTCCACTCTGGAAAACTGTTTGACACGTGATCAAGTGATCCTCTCTCCTCAGCCCCCCAAAGTTGTGGGACAGGCAGAACCCTCTTTTACAGTGTTTACTACAGGTAAACATCTGCCTACTTGATGACCCAGAAATTCCACTCCCAGGTGTGATATCCAAGAGAAATGACTAAATATGGCCACCAAAAAAACAAACAAATACATGAAGATGCACAGTGGCTTCATTCACAAATAGGCCAAAATAGAAAACAACCCAAATGCCCATGAACAGGAGAATGGAAAGATAATTATAGTGTATACTTAATCATGCAATAGAATACTACAACCTAATAAATAACAAATTAATGAAACATGCAGCAACATGGACAAATCTTAATGCTAGTATATGGTGCAGAAAAGGACATACAAGAGCCCATATTATATGATTCTGTGTATGTGAATCAAAGTTAAGAATAGGCAAAACTATGCAATAAGACAGTCACAAAGAGGTAAATACCACATGATTTCACTTATACATGGTACCTAAGAGTAGTCAGATTTATAGACAAAAATAGAGTGGTGTTTGTCAGGGCCTGGGAGTTGGGTGAAATGGGTAGCTGGATGGATATTAGGGTTGAGTTTTTAAAGATAAGCTCTGGCAATTGGTTGATAACATTGTGAATGTACTTACATTTTGCTAAACTGTACACTTTAAAATGGTTAAGGCCAGATGCAGTGGCTCACGCCTGTAATTCAAGGACTCTGGGAGGCCGAGGCTGCTGAATCATTTGAGCCCAGCTGTTCAAGACCAGCTTGGGCAACATGGCAAACCCCCATCTCTACAAAAAAAAATGTGAAAATTAGCCAGGTGTGGTGGCATGCGCCTGTAGTCTCAGCTACTCGGGAGGCTGAGGTGGAAGGATAGCTTGACCTAGGGAGGTTGAGCCTGCAGTGAGCTGAGATCACGCCACTGCGCTCCGGCATGGGAGACAGAATGACATCCTGTCTCAAAAATTAAAAATAAAAACAAACAAACAAATAAATAAATAACATTGTCAAGATGGTAATTTTTATGTTCCATATATAGTAACACAATTTTTTAAAAGAACAGGAAAAACTAATCTGATGGAAGTCAGAACAGAAGCAACCTTTGACAGAGGGCAGTGGTTGGAGGGGACCTCTGGCCTGCTGGCAAATATTCTATTTATTTATCTGGATTGTGCTACTGAGCTGTGAAAGTTCAAAGGCCTGTGTCATATGAGTACTTTTCTTTGTGCCTTAGTAAAAGGTTTTGCCTTTTTGTTTAAGACACAAGAATATTGTATTTGTTTAACATGCTTATTGCATAAAACTCTCAGCTGTTACATGTGACATAGGAAGAGGTGGAATGTTGGGTAGAGTAGGCAGGCTCAGGGAAGGAGGAAGCCGTGGTGAATCTATGGAGACGATGCCGAAACAGGCAGCAAAATCTGGAAGAGGAAATAAAATGGCAGTCACCTTGCAACTTCATCCAGGGATCTTAATTCCTACACATTTTCTGTAGATCAATGTTCTGACCAAAGGCATGGGAACCAGGAGCTGTCTTCTCTGTTTGAGCTCCATGTGAGCCTACAGACCTAGACTTCAAATGAGTTGGATTTATTATCTTCAGTAATACAATGCCATGATCCAAACTGTGGTGGGCCATTCCATTTATGCAGATGAACTCAATCAAGAAAGGTTTACTGAGCAACTACTTTGTACCAGGGAATTTGCTAAGTATGAGAATTATAGTGATGACCACATCCTCCACAGACCTGCCCCTCTTGGATCTTAGAGCCTTGGAAGGGGAAATGCCCACTTGTTAATTCAGTATTGCTTCTCTGGCCCTAAAAAATAGATGTGTGTTAAGTCTCCAATAAGAATCAGCTTCTCAAGCTGGAATTTAGTTCTGGGAAGGGAGAATTTAGTTCTGGAGGCAGCAAGGCAGGACCCGGGAAGAAGGTGGCAGGGAGGAAGGGACTGACTCACTGGGTTGGAACAGGATATGTGCAGCTTTTATCATTAAAAGACAGAAAAACCTTAAACCTGTAGACAATAGATGATATAAAATAGAATGAGGTTTCTTGACCCCAGAATATTACAAAGAATGAATGATGATTTTCTAATTATACCTTTTCTGTATTCTGAAGGTTGACACTTTAATATTAACATCAATTTTCTAAAATTTGACCTACTCTGCCTCTGGTGCTTGAAAGAATAAAGACTTAACTGTGAAATCAATGCACATTAGCCTTAAATCAGGCAAAGAGCATGGACAATAATAGTGTGAGAAAGTTCATATTTTTATTTTTCCTACTTAAACATAAGCACTAAATACTATTAGTCAATGTGGATTGATAATATTTATTTATTCTAATTTTTTTTGAGACAGAACCTTGCACTGTCATCCATGCGAGAGTACAGTGGCACAATCATGGCTCACTGCAGTCTTGACCTCCTGGGCTCAAGTGATCCTCCCACTTCGGCCTCCTGATTAGCTGGAACTACAGGTGCGCATCACCACACCCAGCTAATTTTTGTGTTTTGTGTAGAGGCAGGGTTTCACCATTGTGGCCAGGCTGGTCTCAAATTCCTGAGCTCAAGCAATATGCCCACCTCAGCCTCCCAAAGTGCTAGGATTATAGGCATGAACCATTGCACCCAGCAGATTGTTAATATTTACAATTAGTAGTTATACCAAAACACAGGGAGAAAAAACAAGTTTTAGTTAATGTATTTTTTAAAAAGAGAGAAAAAATTGGAGACCCATAATCCAAGATTAAAAGACTCAGGAAGAGAGAACCATATAGAAATTTTGGAATAAATAACAATTAATATGGTATCAGCAGCCTACTTCAGTTCTATTTTAAATTAACTATAGTTGCAAATGAATACAATTTCTATATAAGACTGAGCACAAATGAATGAATTATTTATTAATATTCGCAGGGGATAAACAGGCAGTTCCAAATGAAAAATCTTTTTTCTTTTTGTCAGACAGGGTCTTACTCTTTGCCCAGGCTGGAATGCAGTGGCACAATCACAGCTCACTGCACCTTTAGTCTCCCAGAGTCAAGCAATCCTCCCACCTCAGCCTCCCGAGTAGCTGGGACCAAACATGTACGCCACCACCCCTGACTAAAGATGAATTAAACTGTGAAAATTTTTTCCAGATTAATGGTCATTTCCAAATCCATCGAATGTTTTTTTCAAGCTGGACTATAAACAAAGAATTGGATGTTTTAGAAAAAAGAGGCCTTAATGTGTCAGCCTTCCTGCTGACAGAATGTTGCCATGTGCATCCTCTTACCTGATCCTCCTGACAGCTCCGGGAAGTGGATAAATGACACACATAATCAAGATCCAGGCAGTTACGATTAGGGGCTCCCACTCACAGAATTTGAGGACAAGACCTCTGAAAATAAAGAATGGTTGAAAGTAGACATTTACAGAAATAACCCAACTAAAATGTAAATATATTGCCATGGATATCTGAAAACTACCCAAGATCAATCAAAGTGATTACAGTGTATCCTCAGGACTACAATGTACCCGAGGAAAGCTGCAACTTTGCCAATTATAGAGTAATATAACTGTCTGAAAGAAGGATGTTTTCGTGGAAGGACTGTTAAATTTGAAGGGAGGCAAAGAATAAGACTTTTTCCACATTGTTTCGGAAAAAAGATGGGCCAGGCACAGTGGCTCATGCTTGTAATCCCAGCACTTTGGGAGGCCAAGTGGGGTAGATCCCTTGAGCTCATCAATTTGAGACCAACCTGGGCAACATGGCAAAATCCCATTTCTACAAAAAATACAAAAATTAGCTGGGTGTGGTGGTTCGTGCTGTACTTTCAGCTACTTGGGAAGCTGAGGTGGGAGGACGGTTTGAGCCCAGGAAGTGAAGGTTGCGGTGAGCCAAGATAGCACCATTGTACTCCAGCCTAGGTGACAGAGAAAGACCCTATCTCAAAAAAAAAAAAAAAAAAAAAAAAAAAGAAAAAAGAAAAAGGAAAAAAATGGCTTTCATCAATGATAGAGGTAAGCACAACCTGTTTGGGGGGCATCTGGTAATTAACTCCAAGTCAACATAGAAGGGAGTGGGCTGGTGGTAAAGGAAGGCTTCCTAAAATATATGGCACCTGAGCTGCATTCTGAAAGACAAGAGGATATTGGTCATGTCAAGGAGAAGAGGTTTCAGCAGAACTTGGGGCTGACTTACGCTATGATGTTGACCTCTCTGGATTTCATTCTTTCATCTATAAAAGTCAAGAATCCCAGCTGGGCATGGTGGCTCACACTTGTAATCCCAGCACTTTGGGAGTCTGAGGTGAGCAGATCACTCGAGGTCAAGAGTTCAAGACCAGCCTGGCCAACATGCATGGCAAAACCCTGTCTCTACTAAAAATACAAAAATTAGCTGGGCGTGGTTGGCACAACCCCTGTAATCCCAGCTACGTGGGAGGCTGAGGCCAGAGAATCACTTGAACCTGGGAGGCAGAGGTTGTAATGAGCGAAGATCACACCATTATACTCCAGCCTGGGCGAGAGTGAGACTGTCTCAAAAAAAAAAAAAAAAAAAAAATCCTTTAACTCCAGCATTAGTCATGCTGGATAATCCTGTGCACCAATAAAAAATCAGAATTCTTCCTGCTTAAGGACAGAATAAAGTTCAATCCCTTTGTATCTTCTCACCTAGCAAAAAGCCATAAAAGACATTTCCATGCACTTTCATCTATCAGTAGGAATATTAAGTCTTCTCTTTCCAGTTTGCAAATTCAAAAGTCCAAGTCTTTCAAGGTCAGTGCAAAAGCAGGCAAATTGGCCAGGTAGTTCAGATTTGCAGGAAAAAATGTGTCATCTGCACTGAATGCATGACTTAGCATGTTCAGTGTGATTTCACAGAACAGTATTTAACAGTACAATGGTCCATGTGTGTATGTTCACTCAGAAAGTGGTTCTCATCAGCTAAACCTGGACAAAGGCTATGAAAAGACCGAGGAGAAATGAAAAAGGGCGAATACGAGGAAGAAACTATTGAGAAGAAGAGTCATAAAGGCATCTTATATACATACAACTTTTATTAAAAGCTGCTAAAATGAAGAGCCTTTTAAAAAGTAACACCAACCTTTGGTTAAAGAAAACTGACCGAAAAATACTTATTTAACTCTGATCTCTCAATAAATCCTACTAAAATGACAGTGGATGTTCTAAAAATATAGAAAAATTGCAAAGATATGGAAACAGCCTAAATGTTCATCAGTGGATGAATGGCTAAAAAAAAATGAACATACACTCATAGTGCAATGTTATTCAGTCTTTTCTTTTCTTTTTTTGAGATGGAGTCTTGCTCTGTCACCCAGGCTGGAGTGCAGTGGTGTGATGTTGGCCCACTGCAACCTCTGCCTCCTGGGTGCATGCCATTCTGCTGCCTCAGCCTCTTGAGTAGTTGGGATTACAGGCACCCACCGCCATGCCTGGCTAATTTTTATATTTTTAGTAGAGCTGGGGTTTCACCATTTTGGCCAGGGTGGTCTCGAACTCCTGATGTCAGATAATCCGCTCACCCTTGGCCATCCTCAGGCTCACCTTGGGCTCTCCCAGTGCTGTGATTACAGGTGTGAGCCACCTCACCCAGCCTGAGCCCCCTGAATTCTAAGCCAGCAGCAGGGAGAGCTAAAAAGCAGCTCTTTGCAATGCAGAACCTCCTGAAGATGTGGGAACTGGTGATGCCAGGCCCTTCTGGAAGTGTAAGTAAAGGAGGGATGTAACAAGAGGAGGCTGTAAATGCACTTGGGAAGCATTTGTATCACTAGACATCAGATGCCTTACACCTTCTGGGCAACCAATCACCTTTCAGAGCTTATTCTCTTGAAAAAGTAGATAAAATTGAGAGTTCTGGGATGGGCGGGCACTAAACAATTCAAATTGGGGTTGCAGTGCTGGAAACGGGGAGATTAAAGTAATATTTTCCATACTCCTCCCTCTTCTTCACCCAGCCCTCAGCCCCAAAGCCACCATGTGCAGTTGAACAGGTCCATCCTGCGCTGGGTACCTGGCTGAAGGGCCGGGTGGGGCTGAGATTCAGCTTCTCTCTCCAGCCACGTGCCCTGGTACAGGGTGTGCTGAAAGAAGGTGCCCCTTTCCCTCATTGTCCAGAAGGTGCCTTCTGATCACTGACACTGCTCCTGCAGGGCTGCCTCCTGGAGAGAAGGTGCCTCTTCCTAATTTTCACAAAGACCTGGCATGGACTTGCAATGGCCCACCCTGAGACTCTGGCAGCAAACTATACTCTTCATGAAAGATTCTTTTCATGGGTATCCAACAAGCCTTCCGCCAAAACACCCACAATAGCCCAGCCGGGTGACTCTGCAGCAAAGCCCAGAGTTGAAGAGCTGCACAGACCCAGCTTCACTCCCTACCACCAGCAGGCAGCTGAGAATCCATCTGAGGAAAACCTTTATCAAGAAAACAGAAATGAGCTGAAAAAGGCAATTGGAAGAAAGTGGACTTTTAAAGACGACTCATCCTTGTCTTCAGAAATCAGAAATATCACCTGCATGAAACAACAACAAGCAGATATAAAAAAGAAACACAGAACGAGAAAGAGTTTTGGAAATTAAAACAAGATAGAAGAAATGAAAACAAGATACAAGAAATGAAAATAGAAACTTGGGAGAAAAGTTGAGAAAATAGAATACAAATTGAAAAGAAGCCGGTGCGGTGGCTCACATCTGTAATCCCAGCACTTTGGGAGGCCAAGGTGGGTGGATCATCTAGGTCAGAAGTTCAAGACCAGCCTGGTCAACATGGTGAAACCCTGTCTCTACAAAAATGTAAAAAATTAGCCAGGTATGATGGCAGGTGCCTGTAATCCCAGCTACTCGGGAGGCTGAGGCAGGAGAATCTCTTGAACCTGGGAGGCGGAGGTTGCAGTGAGCCAAGATCGTGCCACTGCACTCCCGCCTGGGAGACAAAGCAAGACTCCGTCTCAAAAACGAATGAAAGAATGAAAGAGAAAAGAAAAGAAAGAAAATAAATTTAGACTGGGTGAGGTGACTCATGCCTGTAATCCCAGCACACTAGGAGGCCAAGGCGGGCGGATCACTTGAGGTCAGGAATTAGAGAACAAACAGCCTAGTCAAAATGGTGAAACCCCGTCTCTACTAAAAATACAAAAATTAGCCAGGTATGGTGGTGTGTGCCTGTAGTCCTAGCTACTCAGGAGACTGAGACAGGAGAATCCTTGAACTTGGGAGGCGGAGGTTGCAGTGAGCTGAGATTGCACCACTGCACTCCAGCCTGGGTGACAGAGCGAGACCCTGTTTCAAACAATCAAAAAGAAATAGAGAAATAGGAAAGCAGAGCTCAGGGGGCAAGATAAGCTTTGGAATAGAGATTTTGTAATTATTTAAACTGGAAGAGAATTCACTCTATAAGAAAAATGGTGTTGAGAATCAAGAGAAGAGGCCTCGAAGGCAAACATTTGTAAGTGTCAAGAGAGAAGGAACTTCCATTGAGAGAATAGCCAAGAAACCCAAGGAAAATCGGAGTTTCATAAAGGGAGTAGGGAGTTTCATAAAGAGGGTAGGGATCAAGGTCAAGGGCTCAGGGGGTCAAAAAGGCCCAGATCATTAGAATAAACAATGAAAAATCTCTAAACAGGGTCTTCTAATCTGAGGATTAAGCTCACATCCTTTAATGGGCATTAAATTTTAGAGGAGATTTTGAGTTTTGGAAGGATCTCGTATTTTTCCAGGACACCACACAATGAATATGACCCTGTTTTCAGTAAATACACAGTTGTCTTTCATGGTGCGGTAGCACAAACCCTGCATTAATAAGAAAGTGAATCTTAGGGCATATTGTCATTACCATTCCCATACAAAGCTCTGTCCCTGTTTTTCGTCCACACAAGGGATGGCATTGTCTGCCAAAGATGAGCATTTGAACTAAAGTTCATGGCTTGGCTGGGATCTTCCTTTTGGCTGTACTTCCCCCGCGATCAGCTGCCTGTCATAGGCTCTGGTG